CACCAACAGCAGATAATATTGTATCCACTTAAAAATGATATGAAAACTTAATAGAACTAACGATATTTGTTTTATAACTACTATTATTAAAGGAAATAAGGAAAATATTGAATATCCTGGTTATATTTGTCAGTGTGGTCCATTTATGACTGAAGTAGATGTCATGACCCTTTATCATAATTTGATCACAGCTGAAGCTAAACATCCTGGCTCAAAAACTATTGCTTTGAGGATATAAAAACTTCGAAAGTCATTTGGAGCATGTATCAGGTGGTAATGGTTATATATCATAATTCACACATACCTACAAAAAATAAAAAATTCAAGCGTGATATTCAATTAGTATTACATGTTGCAATCCAAAAATAAGTAAATAAGATTTATTAATACTCACCAGTTATCCAACATTAGTCCTAAACTTTGCTTGCAAACGTTTGTTAACACTCGCAAGTTGCACAATGTTAATCCTAACTTTTACTCATTAAACAAATAAAACATAGCCATTTACCAAAGCACTTGGCTTTAAACAGAAAATAAATAACATTTTATTTTTAAAAAGATAATAATATAGATTTGAATCTTGATGTGGTGTTTTTCCTTCCCTATTCGAACAATTAAGGACTTGAATGAAGTTATCTTCTATCCCATGCTTTTTCAAAAAAAGACTAGAAGTTCATCCACTTTCATTAAGTTTGTTTGCATTTTTGTCTCCTCATATTAGTAATAGTTATCAAGCTAACATATTCAATTAATTAAATCTGGTCTTATATTTATTGTAAATAAAGTAATCAACAAAAAACATATGAAAAATATATAAAGAAATATAATAATAATCTAATATTTTTTATCAATTATCTGAAAAACTTCTAATTCATCAAATCTATTACCATTCACTATATTGATGTTACTATAATCACTTGGTTTATTACTAACACTACCATCTAATTTAAACAAAACATCATGACCATGACCAAAAAATGGCAAATAAGAAGGATTACAACCAACTGCATAATTATTATTGATAACATAACTAAATTGTGCAGTATTGATATTATTTCTATTACTTATATTAAATATAAAACTTTCGGTTGGAGTTTTCCATAGACAACTTCCACTCCAATTCAATGGGTTATAACCACCAACTATTTGCTCTGAATTTTGCATTTTGCCAACTACAAGAGTTTTGTTGAAATTATCACATTTTTGATGAAATGTAGCAGCCTTTAAACCATCTCTGCTACTGCGATATAGAAGTTTGAATTCATATTTGACTTCCCTGAAAGAATCATATGGTGGAGTTTTTCTATCAATCCAACTTGCAAAAAGCAAAGTAAGCTTTTTATTGATTGTCAATGATTCAAGTGTTGGTTTCAAATTTGAAATTCTTGATGGTAATAAATTTAATGTTTGTTGCCTATCAGGAAAAAAATAGTATTGTGAAAGGGATCTCCATAAAGTCCTAGGAAAAAGTGTATTATATGGATCAATTTTATCAAAAAAATCCTCTTTAGAGATATCCTGAAACCTTATTAAAGAAATAAGTTCTTTCAATGTGTTGCTCAAATCAACAAATAATGACCAATCTTCAACATTGATATTATTGATTTCTGGATGTTTTGCTAATCCCCACTTAATAATGTTTTCCCAAATAATTATTTCACTAACAGTAAAATCATCTCTTTTGAGAATATCCAATAGAATTGGTTTTTCCAATGATTCAAATTCATCTGATTCAAATAATTTTTCACTATGTTCACAAAACTTTTCCAAATAAAAATTTTTCAATTTATTAAAATTTTTGTTAGCATAAATCAATTGAAGAATTTTAACTGGACTTTCTTTTATATAATCTTCATAATTTTCAATAAAGTATTTCATCATATATTCATAAAGTGACTCAATACCAAGTTCATCTGCTGCAGTTAATAGTCCCAATACTTCAGCACCAGAATAATTTTCAATTTCAATTTTACATGTATATAAAAATCTTTTACAAAATAAATTAATTGTTAAACAAGTTACTATATTATATATTCAATAACAATAAAAAATAATATATATAATAAATTTATTTAAACTTACTTGAGAATAGGGTTGAAAATTTTTTCACTGATATTAGCTTTTTTAATAATATAATATCCATTTTCTTTTGTTGCATCATTTAATGCATCGCTAAAGAATGAACAATGAGCAGATATGATAGATGCATGTGCATGAACTTCTTTAATGTTTGGCTCTACACCAACATATATTTTTACATCATAAAAATTTTCAGTATTTAACAATCTTTCATTTTCATTAAAATATTTTTCGAATATTGAATTCATTTTAATATTACAATTAAATCATAAAAAGGAATCCCAAACATTTGATAAACGGATCGACAGCATATATTGTAAACAAAACGTCATATTTTAATTGTAAGCCACATTCACATTATTGGCTAATGCAAGAGAATCAAGAGTAAAAAAGTGAGATACTAATGTAATTTATTATCATCATAATTATCATATATTTGCTTTAGATATTAATCCATTATTATAATATTTAAAAAAATAATAGCTTATTGAAAAATAATAAATATAACAGTTGTCTTATAATGAGAAGGCATAAATTTTTGAATAATATAATTTAAAAGAAATTTTATTAAATCATCAATTATATTAATTGGTGTATTATATTAAATTTATATCAAAATATATTATATTCATTTTTACGCCTGGAATTATAGTGTAGAATTCAGTGGCATAGACACTTAATTGAGATGGATCCATTTAGAATAACAAAAGAAGAAAAAAACACATTTGCTCAAAAAAAAAAAAAAATAATACAATACTCGTAGAAGGATTAGGGATGGGGACGGTTTATGTCACGTCCAGCGACGAATAATATTTTTATAATTGATCCGTGACGATCAATATACTAAATTACAGGTGACATTTATATTGCCAAAACAAGACAAATTAATTGTCACTTATAATTTAGTAATTAATCGTCACGGATCAATTATAAAAATATTATTCGTCGCCGGACGTGACATAAACCGTCCCCATCCCTAAGAAGGATTAATAGCCTTTATTGTACCCTTTAACAATTTATAACAACAATCAGAATATTTTAATGTTGAATTTATAAAAAAAATATTGATATAGTTAAACGTTTGTTAAGGCGTACAGTTTTATCAAAAGTCTGACTTTTATTAACTAAAACTGTACATTTTAACGAATGTTTACTGTAAGTCAAATTTGGTTTTTTTACCAGTATAACAATTCTTTCTAGTTGTACACAAACCGATACAAGTGGATCTAATTTTTTTTTATATCGCATACCTTTAATATTAGGTCACAATATATATATATTGTGACCTACATTTGAGTGCGGCCAATTTTTAATTTTTAGCCGCCCAGATGGGATGATTATAGTCTAGAAATTCGTATGTGGCCAATTTTTGTTGTCAGGCCACATGCGAACTATCATCAGGATAACGATGTGGCTAATTCTGAATTTTTGGCCTCATTCGAATGTGGCGGATTCCACGTTTTTGGCCACATTTGAACTTTCATATATCTCGTGCCAATTGTGAGGGCTATGCCAGAACTGGATGCAAGGCGTCCTAGCTTGCAAATGCGTATTGATGTAATTTTTCATAAAATAAACTATTTCATGATCATATGCTAGTAGTCTAATAAATCAATGAAAAACATATAAATAGACCCTCTATCCCCCCACTTTGCATTAAAAAATCAATTCGTAAAAAAATACGTATCCCCTATACCACTATAAACAATACATTTTCTAGGCAAAGAAATGTCGAATTGGCAATCTGTATTTTGGCTTTTATGTTGCATTTGAATACTGGAGTTGAGGTATGTAATGCCGAAATAGTATTCGTGATCTGATTTTGGATGATGCATTGATCAAGTAGTCTAATAAATTGCTACAAAAACATATAGATAGACCCTCTATCCCCCCAATTCGTATCAAAAAATACACCAATTTCGCTTTTTACGTTCCATTCAAATTCAAGAATGAGGCACGATGTGTTGAAATAGTATTCGTGATCCGGTTTTTCGTGATGCATTCGAATACTGATCGAGGATGAGGCACGATGTGCTGAAATAGTATACCTATTTGGTGACCCGTCAAAGCATAATTTTTATAATATATCTTTCTATAATAAATTTACCTTGGTGGCCCACCGATTTTTCTTAGAATTTTGATACTCCGAATAGTGTACTCTTGGTGACCCATCAAAGCATAATTATATATTATATATTTCTGTATTAATTATACCTTGATGGCCCACCGAAAGTGTGCTATGCTTTGACGCTCTGGAACACTTTCTCGCATAGTTAGGTACTACCACTTCATGTCAAAAAAATAGTCTATGCTTTGGAGTACCACCTTTACGTATTACTGGATCGAAAATTTTGATTACTTTTACGTATCAAAAAATTGGATTGAAAAATTTTAATTGTATACTTTTCTGTATCAAAAAAATTGGAACATACTTTGAAAATTTTATTGCACTTTTGCGTATCAATTTTACGTATTAGTATCAAAAAATTGGATCAAAAAAATCAAATCGCACTTTGAAGTATTACTGGATCGAAAAATTGGATCACACTTTTACGTATTACATATAAAAAATTGGATTGCACTTTTGTGTATTACTGTATCAAGAATTTTGATTATTTTTCACCATAACGAAAATTTTAATCTCGATCAGAATCGCACGACACAAAAATCCCCTTGGTCTAGGTACCTTGTATTATTTTCCTGGAATTATTTTTTGATTTGAATTTTTTCACGCATTTATTGTAAGAGGCGACAAAAATCCCCTTATCTGAAATGAATGATTAGTTTAATGTAACAATATACCTCCTGCCAGAGGTACGCTACTTAACTAGATCATTGGTTGATTGAATTAGTCGGTACATTTTGAGTTAGTATTGGCAACGGGTATTGAGTCAAAGAGTTCTTGAATTTCATTTGTTTATATGACGGAAGTATTGGAGTCCCTGCTTTATCAAAACCAGTTCCACTATATGGTTTGCGATCAATCTTATAAGTACTTTTCCATACTCGTTTATCTTTGGTCCTTCTTTTTTTCGCCTACTTTTGATAGTATAACCGCACCAATTACCCACTATCGCATTAAACAGTTTAACTGTAGCATTGAGATTAGTGTTGATTTCCAAAACTCGAGAGTTTCGCAACCGTGCGAAAGTCAAAAGGTTTCGCCATAAGTCGAAACTAGTTTTGATTTTTGACTATTGACTTTTGATTTAGTTTTGACATATAACTTTTAATTTTAGTTTTGACTTTCACCTCTTCAAAATAGTTTTGGCGACCAACACTAATTGAGATCAGGGATTTCCTTAGCTCGAGACTTAAATCCAAAGAGTAACAATGCATCTTGTCGAATTTTTTCCGTGTTTGTTCGAACGCTTTTGACACATCATCACCCAAGAGAATTTTTGTATCATCGATATCAGAAAAGCCTAATGATTGGTATAGGTCATGAACCGCTTCCCATTGTTTTGCCGAATAGGATTTACACAAATCATTTGAGGCTGGATCCAAAGAATCTTGCATTGCATAACTTCTTTGATTTTCAGATTTTCTATGGCTTTAATCGTATTAAACCCTTGTCTTCGAAATAAGCAAGTCTTCTAAAATGTTGTAAAGGTTCAGGACTATTAAAATTTTTTACAAAATCTACATCACAGAGTTTAGTACAGTCTGTATGATCCATACCCAAATCTTGAATGTCATCTTTACCTCCAATATCACCCGAAGCACATGTTCTCCATAAATAATATCGTTGCAGAATCATCTTATCAGCAAATAAATGTGTAGGAATCTGCTTAAGTAATTCAGCTTCATTGGGACCAATATCTGGAGAATTGGCTATTAATTCTGGATCAGCAACTTCGATTTTTTTTGCAACTCCTTTAATATCATTAGATACATTTACACGATCAGCCTTAGCCAAGTTGGAATTTTCTACTGAAAATAGATCAAGAGATGCTCCAGTACTAGCGATAGGACTGCAAAGAATTTCGGGAAAATATTTGGCTGATAAGCGTCTCTGATATTCGACCTCTATATAAGTTTCTACCGCTGGTGATGAGTCAAGAGCATAACAATCAGCAATTTTGTTCCATTCACGACATCCCTTTATAGCAACTGGTAAGTCTCCAGGTCTTAAGGCTGAAAGTTCTGCGCGAATAAGGTCACGATTTGGATCTTTAAAAATTCCAGGTTTTTTATTATTATAAAGAGAAATAATGCGACATGGGCAATCACGAATTCGATAAAGCATTTGTGCAAAAGCTTCAACATGAACTCCTGTATTGATGTTACTAATTGCTATAATTGCATCAAAATGATTAGGAACTTCAAAGGAGATACCAGCTTCCACAGTGCTTGTATAAATTACGCAATCATGACCACTCCAGGTAGAATTAATATCAGCAAAATCCTCTTGACGTTGTTTTCCATCTATTTGACCAAAATAAACACGTGTCAAGATAGGTGAAACATCTGGTTTTCGTAACTTGTAGGTTGAAGTGTCAAAGCTCGAGATTTTTGCATAAAGTCACAGAAAATATAACACGCTTACCTTCTTGAAGCATCCAAAGTCCTTTACGCATAGCCTCTGCTCCTTTGTCTGGGCCATAAAGAATTTTTACAGATTCACCTTTACGTGTCTGATACTTGTTATCAAAAATTTGTATATCTTTACCTCGATATTGTCTTAAAAAGGTTAAAGTCGATTCATTCGCAAAAGCATCCATAGCTACAACGTGAACAGTAACTTCAACAAATCACACATAGCATTTTCTGATTCTCGGGCATGGATCCCACTGGACATTTGACGCATGATAGCGTTCACTCCATGTAAGATAACTACATAAGAACGACCTCCATAAAGAGAAAGACGATGTGTACTTTCGACCTTGACGATGATAACACCCAGTCTTGTATAGCTAAATCACCTCCATTTTCCTGATAATGGCACACGTGAAGTCCTGAATTTTGTAATATTTCAACTTTAGCTTTAGTCTCATTGCTAAGAGTTTTACGATATGAAATCCAGTTAAAACAAGATAAATTTGCTTAACTTTTGGCTAAAGAATTAAGAATCTCTCTTAAAGTTTTTGTTTTTTCTGTAGCAACAGGTGAACGAGTTAAGGTTGTAATGGGTTCCTCACTCGAGAAATCCGGATAAGCTTCTGGTGCAACTTTCATCTCTTCAACATTAATATTTTTTCCAGATAAATTTACAAGTGGATGTGGATGCTTTACAATATTAACTATTCTTTTACTTAATCCTAAGCACGATTCTAGAGTTCATGGTGGACAAATCCAATGACCCAACGTCTTGATTTACTTTGTAGAATCGCATTGAGACATAAGATAGACCGTTTTGATTCTGAAAAGTATTATGCTGAGGGCGATACTTCTGATTTCGAGCCTGAATCTCAAATTTCTACGCCTCGATCAAAGAATAATAATAACGATCTTTCAAAAACAGTGCATTCAGTGCATTATAATCCTTTCGATTCCCAGATCACGGAAATAGATTCAATGTTGGCAGTATTTTTAGAATACCAGTACCGATCCAACGGAATATCTTCTCAAGATGGGAAAAATCTCGCCTAGAAAGTTCGTGAGTCTAATATCATAAGATTTAAATTCGTAATTATCATAATTTTTTTTCTTTGCAAGATATAATTTCCGTTCAAGATGCCTTCAAAAATTTTGCTTATAATTAGCAAGCTCATCATCACTAATAATATGATCGCCTCATATTCATGTAAACAATCTCTAGGGTAAATATACTGTTCAGATGAGTTATAGTAACATGAGTGACAATATCCATAGTATAAGAAAGATTCCATGTTTATCGGTAATATATTAAAAAATATTTATCTTCAATTTACCCCTGAAGTCTCATGAGTCTGAATAGTCTGATTCTAAGTCAACTAGCTCTGAGACTGATGCTTCGATATTATTATTTCAGAGTAATAAAGCTTCGAAAAGCCATCATCCTTGACAATAAATAATGATTTGTGTGGATGTATGATTTCCATTCCATCATCGATCGTCCATTGAAAATCGCTTAATATCATTCGTCCAATCATTAGACTTCACAAATACATTTTAATCCAATGTCATGTAATTAGTTTTAGTAATGATTTGGGCTTGCCTTTTGATTTCCGTGATTATAGAATCAAATTCCGAATTTCTTCCTTGATAGCTTCAAATTTCGTGATTCTAGAATCAAATTTTTCTTTCTTTGCAAACTGTTCTAATTCTTTGTCTCTTGCAATCTCTTGTCCCAATAAATCTAATTCGGATTGCATGTCTGTTAATGATTCAATGACTCTTGTAATCTCTTGTCCTAATAAATCTAATTCGGATTGCGTGTTTGATGATGATTCTTTGACTCTTGGGATCTTTTGTCTCGATAAATCTAATTCGTATAGCATGTTTGATAATAATTTTTTTATATAATACATAGATTTATTCAAATCAAATTAATGCATGGAGTGTACCTTCTACAAAATAGAAAAATTTGAAATCATTCGCCCATATAGATATGTCAAATATGACTCGCAAATCGAGGAAAATGCTAAAGATCGATATCATCGAAAAGTCGTCATCCTTGACAATAACTAATGATTTCGTGAATATATGATTCTATTCTATCATTGATCATCCATAGAAAATCGTTTAATATGAGTCAAAAGACTCTATGCTCCACATATTATTCGTCCAATCACGAGGCTTTGCAAATGCATTTTATCTAATGTCGTGTATTATATAAGATGTGCCAAAGTTTCGATTTACCTATCAGAATGAATACATAAATAATTATGATTGGCAAAGGTAATGGATCGTCCATAGTAGATGATTTTTAATGAGCTAACCGTGTAATTCGAAAAAAACCAATGATTATTGATAACTTTAATGATGTGTACTCACAGCAGATTGAACATCCGCACTGGAGAAACTCTGAAATGCATATAAAAACAACTCAAATTCGAATTCGTATAATTTTTCTACTTCATAACTATAAAATTCGAATAAATACAATAAAAATTTGTTGAATCAATCAAATCCACGTTAATAAATAAAACGTAGTAAATCAATTAAACTTTGTAAATTAATCAAAAATCACATTAATAAATAAATCAGTAAAACGTAGTAAATCAATTAAAAACCACCATGTTAAAAAATAAAATCATATTAAACATCATTCTTACATTTATCGAATCAAAGGTTTGTTAAGACTCTTGTATCAACTATAGATTTAGAGATGTAGTATTCTTGTAGAGCTATTGGACTAACTGATTTTTAACTGGTGTAATCTTTTTTTTGCTTGTAATAATGTGAATATACATCAAATAAAGTTGTATTTTACCATAATTTGAGTTTTATTTTTCGACTTTATTTGATATATATACACTACCCAGAAAAAAGTAATTGGACATTAAATACCCAAAAACATACATAATATCCACACATAAAATTTATATCATTTTATAGCTTAGGTTTTGAAGAATATTTATGTAAAATTTTATTTTTTCAGCTTATGTGAAACTTTTAATAAATAAAAAAATACGAATTTCAACCAAAATTTTTTTTCCATTTTGATCGTCAAAATTAAATTGGGAACAAAAAAAATCAATATTCAGTTGGCCATCCTTCATTAGAAATGCATGCTTCAATTTTTTTTGGCATGCTTTCAATGAGTGTATAGTGCCGATCATCTAAAGACATCACAAAATGTTGCCAATCTTTAAATGCTGATACTTCACTAAATATGCGCTATTTTACCAAAAACTCTCTATTTTTGCAATCTTCTGGACATGAAAATTACTGTAATAGAAAGTTTTTTTTGAGTTATTTAGGAAAAAAAAAAGTTTTAATGGTTTAAAGTTATGTAACTTTATTATGTTATTTGAAATTTCGGCAACCATCTAAACCGTGATTTACCGATTAT